GGTGAGCAAGAGGCTGCGTGGTCCTGGTTGCTGGCTGGAGTTAAACCACGACAGCTAAAAAACCCAAAGCCTAGGCACCTTTTCCAGTACTGGGAGTTCAACTATTCTTTAATATACATGAAAAAATAACTACGGCTGCATATTAAATATCTAGGTAGAGGAATGAAAAGAGACACTAATCCACCCATGAGCTCAAGGAGAAGACAGGCAGACAAACTCCTCGTCTGGCTACTCTCCTTAGGTATGAGAGCAGCAGAGCCCTCATGTGCCGTCGGAAAGCTCTGCTGTGGCACGGCCCCGGTGCAGGGCTCAGCTGCTCTGCCATGCCTCCAGTGAGGACAGCATCACAGGTCTGCTCCTCACCAACCAGCGCACGTGGAGTGAACCCAGTTTGCTGTTGGGCAATAGTGAAGGCAGCTTGTCAGTACTCCTGTGACCTTTCGGCCCAGGTTCTCAATGGAGGCCACCAAATAATCCCTGGAAAGGCAGGCTTACAGACTCCAACACAGAACTCCACTGGATATTAAAAGGGCTCTGTGGAGATACTAGCTTATAGCACATCATCCTCTCTCCCCATGACCTCCTCTGTATTCCATAGATGATAAAATATCTACCTGTTTCCATTAGAAAAAAACTTACTAATGTTTACTAATATCCACCTTAGTAACAACCTCTTTTTACACAGCAGGGATCAACTACCTGTTGCATGTTATGGTCTGATTTAACACGCCCATTCAAATTCAGGTAACTTTTCTTGCTCTCCATGACTACTTAGCTTTGAACTCTGTTGCTTCTTTTTTAGGCGTAAGATTTGTGCACCTGAGAGTTTACAAATTTTTGTCTTCTGTATTAGCTGCTCCAAGAGATGATATGATTTCTACCACCTCTTGCCACATATTAGTCTTTCTTACACAGTTATGCCTTCATCAACATTGCCGTTCTTCCTGTATAGAAGCTGGTGAGTTTGGAATGCTTAAAAAAACAGTATTTAACACATTCAAAACAAAACCCACTTCTTCACCAGACAGCCAGTGGCTACAGCTTCAACTCAGCCCTACTTAATCTGCCATTAATACACGTAAGTCACATCTATCTAGCT